TCTATATATATATATATATATATATATATATATATATATATATATATATATATATATATATAGGGTTGGGTTCACGTGAGACGAAGGGTTTTTCGTGAGACCCATAAGACCAATTCTCAACCCTTGGATTAGATCTACAATCGTCAGATCTGAACATTCATAAACGCCACGAGACTTCTCAATAATCACAAAATTGTCATTGTGCAAGTTTAGACCATTAGATCATTAGCTTATAAAGTTGATCAATGAACATAAATTGGTCTTACGGATCTCACGAAAAACCTTTGGTCTCACGTGAACCCAACCCTATATATATACTAGAAGAGTATTCGTGTAATATAATGAGACAAATCTCGATTTTAATATTCTATTTTTTGTCTTTGTCGATATTATAATACGATTTTATGTGTTTTTAAGAAAACAATAATGATTTTATTTTTGAATAATATATAAATCTGAAGATATCAAAAAAAATTTGAAAAAATATATATATCAATGTTAATATCAAATAAACTATTTAAAAGTTCTCATTTTCATGTAATTTTTTTAATATATTCTTTATTATAGTTTAATTTAAATTTAATAATAAAATAATTTAAGTTTTATAAAGATAATAATTAAGTATTATGTTAGAACTCAATTATTATCTTAATTATATTTTAGATTTTTTATATTAAAATGGGATGTTTATCCTGTATTTGATTATGTTTATCTGCAGTTAGTTACACGAATTCAAATATGAAGTTTTAATAAGTTGTACTTGCGCACAATCTACTTGTAATCTTGAGTTTTAAGTAACATGCATTAATAAACGGTACCTTATGCATAAAAAGTGTTTTTTAAGAGTTTTTGTCAAATGGTTTATAATATAGTATAGATATCGGATATTCGTATCAAAATAACTATTTAAAATTCCTCATTTTTGTGTATTTTTTAATAAAAGTTTTTATTATAATTTAATTTTAGGTACAATAACAAAGTAATTTATATTTGATTTAATAATATAAATTTTCTTATAAAGATAATAATTAATTATTTTGTTAGAACTCGATAATTATCCTAATTATATTTTAGATTTTTTATATTTTAAAATAAGATGTT